GGGGTTGGGGGGGGTGACCGCATGATGCGGGAAAGGATTCACGGCGCTTCTCTTTTCAGCCTTATTCCCAAATGAATACGATTCTTTTTTTTTCCCCCCCCCCACTTTGCAATTGCACACGCAGCACCCCGTCATGACTGAGGTTACACACGCTACTCAAGTCAATGTCTGTGTGCACGTTTGTGTAGACACACACACGCACATTAAATGACCGATTGGACTCCTGCACTCAAAAAAAAAAAAAAGAGTGACTGAAATGTACTGAAGTGCACAAGTCGAAAAATTTGGAGAGCGCGAGCGAGACCGAATGTCTTTTGGATTGTGAATACATTTGAAAGGAACTCGTGTCGTTGTGGGCGGGCTGTGTGTGTGTCATTTTTCTGCCGGAGGAAAATTGGAAGAAGGCCATTTGTCAGAAAATGCGCAAAAAAGGTGCCGCGATGCACTGCGTGTCTCACATTTTCAAACTTGACCTGGGGGGGGGGGGGGGGGGGCGCTACCCACAAACGGAGGGCCGGAGCGCCCGTACCCGTGCAATAATGCCTCATGTCAGACCACCAACCACATTGTTGGGGCCTTCAAATGGAGACTGACACTTCTTTCTTTTCTTTTCTTTTCTTTTCTTTTCTTTTCTTTTCTTTTCTTTTCTATCCGGTCTCCTGCCACCCTGTTAATGTGACCTGGTAGCTCTGCAATAAAGACGCTTCTGGTGTTATGACCACATCTCAAATGTTCTCCCTCACTTGCTCTCTTCCGGCCTTTGTTTTTTTTTTCGGGGTTTTTTTTTTTCTTTCTTTTCTACTTGGCACTTACAATTTGCAATTTGCTTCAATCCAAAGTGGCCACCTTCCTCTTCAGCTTCGGGGATTCATTTGTGCTCTCTCTCTCTCTCTGTCATCTCTCTTGCTCTCTTTCAATCGCTCTTTTTCTTTTTCTCTCACACACACACACACACACACACACACGCACAGAGCGCCACAGGTGTTATTTTGGGCATTTTTCGGGGCACTTTCAAGACAAAGCAACCAAATTGAAAGTGGTTATTGTCTCCTCGACAGATTCAAGAATCCAGTCCCCAAAGCCAGTTTCCCTGAAGAACCCGAAATTTGCTATCCATGTTTCTAACAAGTATGGCTATCATGAGAAGACAAACCAAAAAGAGTCTCAAGAAGGCAGGCCTGAATCGACACAGGGAGTCTGCCCGTTGCTCTTCGGACCGGGTTAGGGTTCCCAAAAAAAAAAATGGATGATCGCTCCGCAACCTTGCGCTGTCAAGATGCAGTTCAGTCCGGCTGTCTGGCGCTTCTCCCTTTTGTCTGCGGTGGCCGTTTTTCGGCGGGCCCCTTCCGAGGTTAGGTTGCAAAGAGTCAGTCGGAGCTCCGGCGTCGCCGACCACTCCAACCGACAGCTGGACGCGAGCGGAGCAGAGAGGTCAGCATCAATGTGCCTCCGCTGGAAATTGAGGGAGCTTGTGATTTATGGCTTCCGCATCCACGCCACATACATGTTGAATCTACTTTTTTTTTTTAGGGGGGTGGGGGTGCGCTCCTCCCAGGCTCAAGGGCAGGTCGGGGTCCCTTTTCCCAGGATGTGTGATGATGGACAGGCCTGGTGCAGAAGGATTTTCCCAATGAAGGGAGCGCCGCCCCGTGCCAAGGTGAGCGTAAGCGCTGGCATATGCGGCAGTGTTGCGGTCCGCGTTGAACCCCCCCGTTGAAAAAAATGTCCAGTAGCCGCGGGAGGAACCGCGTTCCAAAGGCAATTTTCTGCACTCCCAGCTGTCACGGGCAAGCAGGTCAGGCGGAATGAAAAGGCAGCAAGTGATAACAAACAAATACGGGCGGGCGCTGAATTGCACAACGAGAAAGGACTCCCTCATTTATTTGTTGCTTTGCCCACACAAGGGGAATCGTGGCAAGCCGTTCATTTCACGCAGGCCCAATTTTCATATTTCATGAGCATGACTCCGATACAATGACTGTAATTAGTCCAAGCTCACTCCCGGTTATATTATTCGCGGCTCTCGTTGATGATGTTGCACGTGTGGAGGGGATTGGCTTCGGAGAATATATGAATGGCAATTCTTTTTTTGCTCCGTGTGAGGCGCTGGTTGTTTGAAAGAGCTCTCGAAATACACGTGAGTCGAGTTGATGAATGAGGTCTGATGTCCCCGTGATGTCGTATGCAGAGGAAGTGAGCGGCTGAGGGGGAAGCCGCCCGCTGCCTTTTTTTTCGTCCTTGTTGTCCTCCCTCTAATCCCCACTCCTACCCCCCCCTCACCCCCCACCTTGATGCCAAACCTCCAGGCCAAGATCGATAGCCCGTTTTAACGAGGGCGTCGTGTGTAAATAGAGACGACGGATCCTGCCGCGGAGGATATCTTGAGCGGCGATGGAACTCTGACCGGTGCGGCGGCTAATTTGATCGAGTCTCACGTTGACGCCTGCCGATACGTCGGCTCTCCTGTCAGTGGGACGTCGGCAGGTTGAAATGCGTCGGGTCTCCGGGGTGCCGCCCTGGGGCTCAACCCGGGGATTTGGAGTCGCAGCCAGAGTTGGTCAAATCGCTCCATTGCATCTTGCGCCGTGTCGTTGCACCTTGGCGGGTTCGCACTGACGAATGTTGCGCAATGTCAACGGGGCCCTTGTCCCCCAAAGCAGGCGGGGAGGCCACAGGAAGGGGGGGCCGACATCGGGTCGCAGGATCCGTGGGCGCAGGCGCGGCCAGCGGGCGCTTGAGAGAGAGAGATTGTGCTCTAATTTCATCATCATTTCCTATTTTGGACCTCTTTCCCTTGTTGGACCTGAACCCAAACTGTCTGTCTGTCTGTCTATCTCAAATCTCGACTGCCCGTTTTGTTATCACGCTCTCCCGTTCAGCGTGTTTGTCTTGTTCCTTTGCTTTGTTGCGCTTGGAAAAAAACGGCCTCCATTCATTCATTCATCTGATGATCAAGGCTAATTTGTACAAATCAGGGTGGTTAATCATTCGGTGCACGGCGAGTTCATTTCAAATTGTTTTTCCGAGGCGGCCGAGCGTGTGGAGTCGAGTCGGGCCGTTTTGTCTTTGAGACAAAGACGCTCAGAAAAGTGGCTTCTTCGTTTTTTTCACCGCCAAGAAGAGGCTTTTTTTCGCATGTCACAGCAATGAATCCGTCCGGCCGTCAAACAATATTCTGGAACCAAAGTCCGGGGTGGGGCGGGGCCCGAGGTGCCGATCAATCCGCATCACTTTTCTCCTCACCGGGTTATGGGAAAATTGATTTGGCAAACAAAGCATTTGGGAAGCAGCGCGTGGACTTGTTGGGGGATCCATTAGCCTCCATTGAGCATTTTGTTGAACATCGGATTTTCATCACAGAGAAAATGCGGTGTCCTCAATACCGTGAGCCGGGGCGCTACGATTTCTCATGTCTTTGTTCTTGCTCAGGAAGCGTTCCCAAAAGTGCTGACCAACATTTTGGCGTCCGCGGGTGGAGGTTCACTTTCAATCTCTTGGCAAATATTCAAGGGAGCAGGGCGCGCCAGCTCTCTGTCCGTTTTTAAAACGCAGTTTTATTCTTTGGCGTCCTTTTGTTATTTGATTGTCATTCACTTCTTGTCTCGAGCATCTGATTGGATGCCCTCCCTATTTTTGGCCTGCGCCTGCAGCACCTTGCGTGCAGCGTTGGGCTGTGCTCCACCCATCAAATTCAGGGGCGTCGGATCAAAAACAGGAGTCCCAAGCCTCAGCGTCCCCTACCAAAGCGTTGGAACAATGAGGCCGGCTCCTTTGAACGAAGAGGATGCGTTTCTATGGGACGGTAATTGCAAGGCCTTCCTCCCAGCACTGTCCGCAGCGCATCATCAGCGCAAGCGTATCCTTCTTTGGCGCGAGTGTCTCGCGACTGTGCCCGTCGCGCTGTTCTCCAGCGGCGCCCGTTTCCAGACAGCGTCTCATCTCTCCCTCCAGGCAAGGCCTGCGTGACCCTGGCTCATTCACCGAGGGTGTCTGAAGCCAAAGCACTCCAATCCTGAAGAGAGCCCCCCCCCCACGCCCGTCTTTTAACACCCCTCTAATGTCATCTGTGAAATATGAAGTCATTAGGCCATGCTAAAACACTGCTGACAAACTAATTAACGGGGGCATTAACAGGGTGGCTTTGATTAATCCGCTTTCACCGTTTCTTTTTTAAAGTGGCTGCGCTCAAAAATGAATACACATTTACGGGTGGTCTTAAGTGAGGGATAAGAAATAGCGGACGACCTCAAGGGCAAGCTAAAGTGGTTGGTCCTCTTTTTACCTCCTGTGGGTACTCGAGTCTTTTTTTTGGGGGGCGGGGTCTTTGCACTTGGGTTATGGTTGTAACACTGAAGACAATTACTACTCTGTTGTTACCGTCACAGCCATTATGGTTTAAGTTGTCCCTCAGTCACACCTGATCTAAAAATAATTGACAACCTCGAATTGCTTCCTGGGTAGAAATAATCTTGTAAATGGCGCCCCCAAGCGGCCATAATCAACGAACATCTATTTCTTGAGGTTGGTGAAGACACCCGAAAGTCAAAGCTAGCCAGTTTAGTTCAATCTGACATAACATTTTTTTCTCGTTCACGTTTTCATGCATTGCTGTTTTGTTTTGTTTAGATTTTTTGGGGGGCCGGGGGGATCGCTCTGGCGTTTGTTCGCTGACTGCTTTTGATTTGTTCCGCCATTTGCGTTGACCCAAAAAATGAACTAATAATACGGTTGAGCAATTTCACCAGTCATCACATACTTTTCACATTTAAAGGTGAATAAATGAGTCAATTTTTGAAGTTACGATTTGTGAGCGAATGAATGGTCTCGACTTAGCGGAAGTCGTCACTCAAAACACGTGACGTCACTTCGGGATCGTACTGGCCCCCGCATTCACAGACACTCCAACCGACTGGAGGGATGTAAAAACTATATCTATATATTTATCTTCATATGTGTCTGTGTCCTAAAGATAAAAGTACACATATTTCTGGTTCTAAGGGAGAACTTAAAACGATACCGGTGCGGGTAAAACACCTTTTAACGGGACGTTGTCCGTTTGTCTCAGACGATGTAGTAGCTCACGTTTTGGCGATAGCGAGCTAGCTAGCGAGCGTTAGCATTGTGCGCATCGGAGTCCCCGGCTGAATGTGAGCACAAAGGCGGCGACGCCCGGACGCCTCCTGTCGGAACCATGTACCCTTCGTGGGGGAACTATGGGGCGCCCGGCCCGCGAAAGCTGCAGGTCGGAGGCCACACGGGGTCCCCGACGAGTTTCGGCTCCTTGCAGGCCTCGTCGAGCGGCTCCATGTTCTCGAGCCTGCAGGAGCAGCACCGCCAGCAGATGCAGCAGCTCCAGATGCTCCACCAGAAGCAGCTCCAGAACGTGCTCCACCACGGCGGCCCGCCGGCGGCCTACGGCGCCGGCGGGCCCCCGGGTGGATACTCTGCGCCGGCGTGGCATTCGACGGAAGCGGCCCCGTTGGATCGAAGCGGCGGGACGCAGTCGCACATAAAGGGAGACGGCGTCGCGATACCGCCGGAGCACTCGCAGCCCCCGCTTCCTCCACAGCCGCACAAGATTGACGCCAAACCGGCTCCTCCTCCGCCCGAGCACCAGTCAGCGAAACCTCCGGAGGCCAACGCTGCTCCAAAAGCAAATGACTCACTCGTTAAAGACAAGGACAGCTCCAATCTGCAGGTAATTGTCAACAAATTTCTATCCATCCCAATTTCGATCAAACAACTACACATGATCCGTAGCAATAGTCTTGAATTGAAAGGGCGCTCCACGCGGTGGTCTTGGTTGGCAGGTTTATGCGCGGTTTTCACCATCACAGTCGGCAATTTCACATTTTCTTGTCCGTATGACGCTTTCGAACGTTCCAGGGTCTTTATCGGAGCATCTGTGTACAGCAAATCCAATAGTAAAGCTCTGATCCCACCAAGCGGCGACCGGTTGCTTGTGTTTTTCAAGGCAGTGAATGATGCGTTCGCGCCGGGGTTCCTTCAAGGTCGCAAATGTTCACCAAACGATCGCCCAAACGTCACCAGACGTTCGCCGACCGCTGTAGTGGTTTTTCTACCAGTGACCAGGAAAAGCGCAAGCGGACATTTGCGACCCTGAACAAACTCTGACGGGAAGGCAGCATTGGCGGCCTTCGAAAACACTCGCCACCGTTGGATCGCGTATTTGGTTTTGAAAAAAGGAGCCGCTTGCCAAGGTGAACTACCCCTTGGCTAACGTGGCTCCTTAGACAAAGCAACAAACGTTGGCATTCCCGGCACGTTTGGACTCATTGTTCACGACAGCAAGCTTGATGCGTCCGTCTTCCAGGGGTTGAGTAAATATGAATGTTCACCCAGGATCAGCAGCAACTTTGGTACAAGCAGCATCTGGAGAATCTGCAGAAGCTGAAGCAAGAGAAAGCCAAGCAGAATCCAAATCATGCCGACCCCCCCAACAGCCACGCCGTGCAGCCGCCTCTTCCGTCCGAGCCTCCCAAAGGTGCGCTGCCTCCGCCCCCACCCAAGGAGGAGCAACCGGCTCCGCCTCCACCACCCGAGGTGAGCTTTTCCGACAATGCTCGCGCGGGCCGCGTTGCCCACTTGCGCTCGCCGGGAACACTCTCAAATTGCGCCGGCGGCAGCGGCGCGCTCCAATCTTGCCGCGTATCTGTGTTGAAGCCGGACAAAAAGCAAGACCCGGAGGAGGCGGCCCGACTCCAGCAGCTGCAGGCTGCGGCGGCTCAGTGGCAGCAGGTTCAGCAGCAGAGAGTCAGCTTGCACTATCAGGCTCTGATGCGGCAGCATGAAAAGCTTCAGCAGATACTCGAAAAGTATCAGCCGCTCATTCAGCAGCCTGCAAACCTCCAGGTAGGTGGAAAGAGGAAGCCAATGCCGACCCGTCTGCGTTGAGTGTTGTACACGGTTGCGGCATGTGGCCTTTTAAGCGGAAGGGAACTCTTTGGGGCCTCGAGATCTCTTTATTAGTAAACCACGCGCAACGTGCCCACAAACAGCACGGGCGATCTGTTGGCACGTACAAGCAATGGAGTCCCCACTCTTTGGGATCGCTATAAATCGAGCCCTTGGTGTTTTCTTTTCAGTCAATGTCAGCCGAGGTGCAGCTGAGGCATTACGAAGTGCAGAAGCAGCAGTTCACCCCTCTTTTCCAAGAGTGGGAGCTCACCTTCAGGCTGTGGTTCGAGCAGTTCCAAACCTACCCGCACAAAGACCAGCTGCATGACTATGAGAACCAGTGGAAGCAGTGGCAGGATCAGATGAATGCCACCAATGCCCACATTCAGGAGACCATCGCCACCCTCACCGCCATGGTGCCGTACGCCGCCATGCAGTATAACAGTGCGGCTATGGGGCCGTATGGCGCTTACCCCGGACAAGGCATGCGAATGCCGCCGCCGCCGACGAATCAGCCGCCGCCACCGTTGAGTCAGCCGCCGCCACCGTTGAGTCAGCCGCCGCCGGTGACTCAGCCACAAATGAATCAGCCGCCGCCACCAACGCCTCCTTCGGTTGCTGTCGGTCCCGCCTCGCAAGGTCCGCCGCCCGGTCCGCCGCCGGGTCTTCGGCACTCCCCAACCGCCGCTGGACCGCCACCTAAGGGAGGCGCCCCAGCCGGATTGCGACCCGCGTGTCCTGTCAATATTCCGCCACCCAACTTCAACAGCATCGGGGGCCCGAGGTCAGTGCCCATACTTGTCGCTGATCAAGCGCAGATTGAATAGAATTCAACCGTGCATTTCGCTGTTCATGATAACGACATTGTTTTACCGTATCAACATATGTTCTTAGAGCAAGCAACCCCGGATTCAGCCAGCCCATGCCGTTTGAGGGACCTCCGAGATTTGATCAGCGCTTTGAGCGTCCGCCTCTGTTTCAGCCACCTCCGCACCGCTTTGACAGTCCACCTAGGTTTGCCCAACCAGGGACGCGCTTTGACGGAACACCTCGGTTTGATCAACCCCACCCGCGCTTTGACGGACCGCCCCGTTTGAACCAACCCGGGTCGCGTTTTGACGGTCCGCCCAGATTTGACCGTCCGCCTCCGCTCCCTTTCGACAAGCAGTCTAGATTCGACCAGCCCCCGAGACAGGCTGGCCCGCAGCCTCCCACCGAAGGCCCCCCGGCGCCGCCACCGAGGCAGGAAGAGCCCCCGCCCCAAGCCAAACAAGGCCCCGCGCAAGCCGTCAGTGGCCCGTCTTCGTTAAAATCGGTTGAACTGCCTCCAACTGACGAACAAACGAGTAAAACAAAATTTGGTCATGCAACCGCTGACAAAGACATGACGGATGACACACTGGACAGTGTTGGATTTTTTATTCCCAGCGAACCAATTCCTCAAACCCAAATTACAAGCACAGAGGAGGATGATTCCATGGACATTTGTAACTCACCCAAACAAGTCGACGGCAATCCAGCACAGTCCGCTGCTACTCCTACGGAATCGAAACAAGCTACCTCGCAGGATTACCCCAAACCGAAAGGCTCTGCAATAAACAACACCGCTTCTTCTGTCGCCTCCCAAAAACAAGAGGAGAAGCAAGCGCCTGCACAATTGCAGTCGAGGCCCCAACATGTTGGTCCTCCCCCGGCAAGAGGACGGGGTCAGCCCCTGGGGCCTATGCTAGGTCGTGGGGGAGGACACGGGCAGAGGGGACGTGTAGACTTCGGCGGACAAAACAGCGGCCCACCTGAGAAGGAGTCGGACGAAATGCGTCATGAATTTCTGCCTCCCGAGGAAGAATTTTACGAGGTGCCGGAGCAAGAGGACTACGAATGGCAGGGGCCACCGTATGAGGAGTTTGGTGGTGAGGCGCCTGAGGAACCGGGTGAAGAAATTTGGATTCCAGAGGACCATCACTTTGAGGCAGAGGAGGAGTATTATGAAGAACCAATGCAAGGACCTCCTAGGAGGAGAGGTGCGCCGATGATGAGAGGGCGGCCTATGACCCGAGGAGGTGCACCGCTGGGTTTAGAAGGACCGCCCATGGGAAGAGGAGGACCGCCAATGGGCCGAGGGGGACCGCCAATGGGCCGAGGGGGGCCGCCAATGGGCCGAGGAGGACCGCCAATGCACAGAGGTGGACCGCCCATGGGCAGAGGTGGGCCGCCCATGGGCAGAGGTGGGCCGCCCATGGGCAGGGGAGGTCCGCCCATGGGCAGAGGAGGACCGCCCATGGGCAGGGGAGGACCGCCCATGGGCAGGGGAGGTCCTCACCTGGGTAGGGGCTGTCCGCCCATGGGTCGAGGCGGCCCGCCCATGCCCATGGGTCGAGGCGGCCCGCCCATGGGTCGAGGAGGCCCGCCCATGGGTCGAGGCGGCCCGCCCATGGGTAGAGGGGAAGCTATGAACAGTGAATGGGAAGAATCTGAGCCGGCTGAGTACCATGATGAAGATGAATCTTGTTGGGGAAACGGGGGTCCTCCAATGAGAGGGATGAGACCTCCATTTCCGCCTGGCCGCGGTCGACGACCGCGCGGCCATCCTGCTTTCATGCCGGGGAGAGGACGCCTGCCGCACTTTGCGCACGGGCCACCGGATGAAGAGCCATTCGGCTACAATATGGACTCTGGCGATATGGACGAGTCGGGTCCTTACATGTACCGCGGTGAGGATCCTCACAACTTAATGCGCTCGGGAGTAGGGAGAGGCAGGTGGCCGCCGCCGCCTCACGAAGAAATGGAAGCCGGCGAGGAATCGTTTTATCGAGACGAGATGGAGTCCGAGCAGGATTGGCGGCCACCCTACGGCCGACGTCCTCCGATGCCGCACGAGATCATCGAAAGGGGCGGTGAAATGAGAGGGGGGCCTATGGGTCGGGGAAGGACAAGAGGTGCCATGCGGCCAGGTGCGCCACACCAAGAGGAAGATGGATACGGTTACGGTTTCGTTGAGGACTACGGCCACGGAGAAGACGACCATCAGCGGAGGCCGCCTCGTCTTGACGACCCTCGACGCGACGGCAGGTTCTTTGACCCCGAATGGGAAAGAAAGCGTTCTCCGCCAGCCAGGGACGATCCGGCCCCAGAGCATTACCGTGATGACGGCTGGCTTGAGGAAAGAGACCGAGGTCCCCCGCATCCATTTGAGGAGCACGACCGTCGAAGAGGCGATATCAGAGTTCGCGATTACACGGACGAAGCGCCGTCGCGATCGGAAGATCCGGCGCATCCTCCGGATTGGAATCGTCCTTCTACATTTGACCCCCCAACAGAGAGAATCTTCGCCCCCTTCCGTGACCACAGAGACGAACCCCCGCTTCAAAATGAACCCGGCGAAAACCGGCCGGCGAGTTCGGCCGACCAACAGGGAGGGAATGTGCTCGCTCTTTCCCAGCGGCAGCATGAAATAATCTTAAAGGCTGCCCAGGAATTAAAACGCATGAGGTAGGAGACGTCTGACTCGGCTCCAGTGCCGCACAGCCTATATATGTCCGTCCGTATCGTTTCTTCGTCTGCGTTTGCCTCGGTTATTAGGGAACTGCAAGACGTGAAGACCGATACCGCACCTCGGCCGACACTCGCCGACCCTTTACCTGACCTCCCTGCCGGGCTCCTGGGTTTGGAGATCCCACCCGAAGTCAGAAATGCACTCAAGGTAAGCATTCAATTCATTGGCAAAGAACCCGTCACGTCGCGACCGCTCCTTGAAACATTCCAATTGACCCGATCCAATGTGTCACAGGGCATGACCACCGCGTCTGTTCAGGCGGCTAAAACGCAGTCTTGGGATGCGAGTCCCGCCACGTCTGGGCCGACCGTCATTCCAAAGACTGTGGATTACGCCCACGGACATGGTATGTGGCGGCACGCCGGGGCTCCTTTCAATCTTCAAATCGGGGATGCGATCCCGTGATCGGACATCGGCGCTGATCGGGCGATTTTCGGTGTCGGGCGAAAAAGGTCGGCTTTACTATTTTCCGAGCACTTTAAACGTCACCGAGCTACAAAACGATCCAAATGTGGCACCGATGTTGCCAAATACAAAGCCAGTTCCTGTGAGGTCGGCGGGGCATTGTGTTAAACGTCAAATAAAAATCACGTTTAACCTACAGCTAATTGAATCCGCGACAAAGACAAGATATATGACCGTGATTGTTTCTCGATGGGGCGGGGTTCACCTCTTTGTGATCTCCTGCGCGAGGAATCTCGTCCAACAGTCGAAGGATCCCGTTTCTCCAAGTACAGTTGCGAAGAATTTCGACCTTTCATCATCTCCGGTCCATGACGCCGCCCGATCGGGACATCCCCGTCTGAAACGGTGACGACGCCGTTTGTGACAGTTATTGGTGAACATTTTCAGAACCCGGTACCACGGTGGAGAAGATCGCTTACGGTGAGAGGATTGTGCTGAGGCCCGACCCGGACAGGGGATACGAAAAAGGTGGGTTGAGCGCTCGACCTTGCTGGCAAATGGCCGCAATCAAAAGTAGCAACCTTCGTTCTTTCTCATGTGCGCGGAACACCTTTCAAAACGCACTTTGCCATTTGACCGAAAAGGGACGTCGCACCAGCGCAGGGCTCAGCGAACGGCGAACGGGACTCGCGTGACGTCAGCGAGCCGAGCCGCGATTGGTCCTGACCCGAGCGAGTGACCAAACGGCCTTTTTCAAAAAGTGTTCATTGGATCTGCCGAAGACCGGCCGTCGTTTTACTGCTGACAGTTGCAAACTCGGTCAAGCGTCCCTTTCAGTAAGGGAGCTTTTTGTTCTGCTCTTTGCATTGACAATTTGTCGCCCCCGTGCTCCCAGAACCTCTGCGCGAGCCTTACGGCAGAGATCCCTATTACGACAGACGACCCGACCCTTACCCGGACCGCCACGAGTACAGCCGAGAGAGAGAATTCTACCGAGAAAAACCTCCGGCAGAATATGAAAGGGAACGATTCGGAAGGGAAAGATACCCTCCGAGGGATCGAGATGAAAGGTAGCCAGCGCCTTCCCGCCTCCTCTTGTCTTGTCAAACTTTTCAGCATCTGTAAATCCGCGTAATACCGTTTTTTGTTTGTATGTTTGTTTGGAATCCAAGCTCACTAATGACGCTTGACGAAAGGTACTCCGTCCCGGTTGTGTGTTGCTTTGATCAAAAAAAAAAACAAAAAACGATGGGATGAAATATATCGCGAGCTTTTGCGTCGACGTAGGCCCCCTCATCGTCCGGGCTACCGGGAAAGAGAACACGACCTTCGAGAGAGGGACCGAAGCGGCAGCCGCGATCGGGAAGATCCTTTCGGAAGGCCCGCCTACGAAAGGCCCGCCCCCTACGAGCGCCCCGGACACGACCGGCTCGGGCCCGAGCGCTACGGCCATAGCTCCTCCCCTTTTGGTAAGTTTCGGCAAAACGGCGTCAATCGGGGTTGTTTGAATATTCTATTCCTGACGCGTGAATATTGTCCGGTAGACCGGAGAGGTTACCCGGAGGACCGCGGGCCCCCCTCCTCCGCACTGCCGCTCGCGCAGCCGGCGCCGCCCGCGGAGAAGAAGCCCGAGATCAAAAACGTGGACGATCTTCTCAAACCCCCCGGCAGGCTGTCGCGGCCCGAGAGGGTATTTATTCATCGCCGCTGGGCTTCATCGCTTTTTTGCGCGCGTGTGCTCGTTATGACGCCGTTGTCATGGCAGATTGTCATCATCATGAGGGGCCTGCCGGGGAGCGGAAAGAGCCACGTCGCAAAGCTCATACGAGTGAGTACTTTCACGCTTTTTTGTTTTTGAAGAGCGGGCTTCACTTTGGCCTTTTGATTTCAACCTTCAGGATAAGGAGGTGGACTGTGGCGGCGCCCCACCAAGAGTTCTGGTTTTGGACGACTATTTCATGACCGAGGTTGAGAAGATTGAGAAAGACCCGGATACGGGCAAAAGGGTCAAAAGGAAGGTGAGCGTCCCCTCACAAAAAAAAAAAAAAAAAAAGGTCCCAGAGAAAGAGCGCGTCCGGATCACTTCCGCCCCGGTAGAAAAGCGGATTTCAGTCCGGGCTCGGGGCCGGCCGCAAAAATCTTGGCGAAAGCTCCTCGACTCCCTTTGAAACAAGATTAGACCTGGGCGGCGGCGTATGTCAAGGCGCCGGTGTGACGTCGGCGCCGAAATAACGGCATCGGGTTTCCCGCAATGCGACGCCGTCCTCCAGGTTCTCGAGTACGAATACGAGCCGGAGATGGAGGACACCTACCGCAGCAGCATGCTGAAGACCTTCAAGAAGACTCTGGACGACGGCTTTTTCCCTTTCATCATCTTGGACACCATCAATAACCGGGTCAACCACTTTGATCAGTTCTGGAGCGCCGCTAAGACCAAAGGTTTTGAGGTACGCTCAAAGCACAAAATTCAGTCCCCCGTCCCTCGGTGTGACCGTCGCTCGTGTTCCGTCCAGGTCTACATCGCCGAAATCGTGGCCGACACCCACACCTGCGCGAAGAGAAACGCCCACGCGCGCACCCTGAAGGACATCGCCAAGGTCTGTCGCGCAAACGACGCGTTTCCGGTGCGATGTTGGAGGACAATTGTCCCGACGGCTTGTCCCTCACGCAGATGTCCAACGGCTGGGAGTCCACGCCTCGCCACATGGTCCGATTGGATGTGCGAGCCCTGCTGCAGGACGCCGCCATCGAGGAGGCGAGTTCTTCGCGACCGCCTTTCGGTCGCTTTCGGACCCTCGGCTAACACGGCTTCGTTACCAGGTGGAAATGGAAGACTTCGACCCCGAGGATGAGCCCGAGGAAGCCAAGAGAGAGGAGGAAGAAGAGGGCGATCTGGTAGGACATTTTGCTCTCCGTGCGCCGACTCGTTTTCACGTTTGTGGGATGCTCTTTTCGTCGTGGCCTCGCCTTCATTTCAAGTGGAAATCCTGTTTTTCCCTTTGAGAAAAAAAGCAATTCCGACTTGAGCGGAACCGATCATTTGAAATGCAAAATTTGTCTTTTGCTTGTCACACGGTCGCGTATTCTGACCATACAACACATCCTGATTTAGCGAGCGCTTTCACAACGGCCGGCCGCAGCTCTTGTGGAAAGCGCTTTACAAACCCAGTGAACATCAAGGAAAAAGAAAGAACACGGAACATTCTTGGTCCAAAACGGCTTGCTTCCAAGTCGCAATTTCATAGAGCTACTATGCAATTGCGACTTGAAAGCAAACTTTGACACACACACACACACACACACACACACACACACACACACACACACACAGAGTGGTGTTGAGGCATGAGAGTAAATTTCTGAGAGGACTGGCCGAAATGTCCTCACTTGTCAAAAATGTCCTCACTACGTTGGTCTTAAAATCACAGTGGTCCTCACAAGAATAGTCATACAAACACACACGCACACACACACACACTTTGTTTCCCATTCAACAATGCGGGGACCACCTCCACGGTAACTGGGGTCATAAAAAGCTCTGCTCGGGCCCAACAGTTGTATTTGTTCTCAGCACCGGATTGTACCGTCCGGGCTCGGGGCCGGCCGCAAAAATCTTGGCGAAAGCTCCTCGACTCCCTTTGAAACAAGATTAGACCTGGGCGGCGGCGTATGTCAAGGCGCCGGTGTGACGTCGGCGCCGAAATAACGGCATCGGGTTTCCCGCAATGCGACGCCGTCCTCCAGGTTCTCGAGTACGAATACGAGCCGGAGATGGAGGACACCTACCGCAGCAGCATGCTGAAGACCTTCAAGAAGACTCTGGACGACGGCTTTTTCCCTTTCATCATCTTGGACACCATCAATAACCGGGTCAACCACTTTGATCAGTTCTGGAGCGCCGCTAAGACCAAAGGTTTTGAGGTACGCTCAAAGCACAAAATTCAGTCCCCCGTCCCTCGGTGTGACCGTCGCTCGTGTTCCGTCCAGGTCTACATCGCCGAAATCGTGGCCGACACCCACACCTGCGCGAAGAGAAACGCCCACGCGCGCACCCTGAAGGACATCGCCAAGGTCTGTCGCGCAAACGACGCGTTTCCGGTGCGATGTTGGAGGACAATTGTCCCGACGGCTTGTCCCTCACGCAGATGTCCAACGGCTGGGAGTCCACGCCTCGCCACATGGTCCGATTGGATGTGCGAGCCCTGCTGCAGGACGCCGCCATCGAGGAGGCGAGTTCTTCGCGACCGCCTTTCGGTCGCTTTCGGACCCTCGGCTAACACGGCTTCGTTACCAGGTGGAAATGGAAGACTTCGACCCCGAGGATGAGCCCGAGGAAGCCAAGAGAGAGGAGGAAGAAGAGGGCGATCTGGTAGGACATTTTGCTCTCCGTGCGCCGACTCGTTTTCACGTTTGTGGGATGCTCTTTTCGTCGTGGCCTCGCCTTCATTTCAAGTGGAAATCCTGTTTTTCCCTTTGAGAAAAAAAGCAATTCCGACTTGAGCGGAACCGATCATTTGAAATGCAAAATTTGTCTTTTGCTTGTCACACGGTCGCGTATTCTGACCATACAACACATCCTGATTTAGCGAGCGCTTTCACAACGGCCGGCCGCAGCTCTTGTGGAAAGCGCTTTACAAACCCAGTGAACATCAAGGAAAAAGAAAGAACACGGAACATTCTTGGTCCAAAACGGCTTGCTTCCAAGTCGCAATTTCATAGAGCTACTATGCAATTGCGACTTGAAAGCAAACTTTGACACACACACACACACACACACACACACACACACACACACACAGAGTGGTGTTGAGGCATGAGAGTAAATTTCTGAGAGGACTGGCCGAAATGTCCTCACTTGTCAAAAATGTCCTCACTACGTTGGTCTTAAAATCACAGTGGTCCTCACAAGAATAGTCATACAAACACACACGCACACACACACACACTTTGTTTCCCATTCAACAATGCGGGGACCACCTCCACGGTAACTGGGGTCATAAAAAGCTCTGCTCGGGCCCAACAGTTGTATTTGTTCTCAGCACCGGATTGTACTTTTTTTTTTTTTTTTTTAAATGGGCAGCAGCCTCCATCTTAAGAATCAGTGCGTGAGCGGCGTCCTCCCGGGGCCCCTCCTTTGGCTCGCATTCCAACTGCCTTTGCCATGATTTGATGGACCACAAGAGAGCCGTGAAGCCAAATAGTGAGCAAATAACAAAATGTGAACCGGACCGGTTTCCATTGTGCTTTTGACGGTGGTCCGCAAGTGATGGATGCAATGGGAATTACCATCAATCAATTTAAAAAAAAGAGAGAGAGAGAGGTGGTCAACTTACCCGATCGACCACCTGATAAAACCAAATGACCGCTCTTCACATTAAAAAAAAATATATAAATAAAAAATAAATAAATACAAATCGCCACTACCTTTTTTTTTTTTTTTTTTTTGCTGCAAGGGCTTTCTGCTCATTTACTTTGGTTTCTAACCGGAGTTCTTCAACAATCTGCACAAGACGCCATGGCGCTTGTGTTGTGCAAAAGTTCATCTTTAAAAAAAAAAAAACGAGAGAAAGAGATTTTTTTTTTTATCTCCTACTGCCAGGTCATATGAAATCTTTTAGAATGTATGACAAAAAAGTGTTGTTGTTGTGTTATGAAGACTGCAAATGCTCCTTGTTTTGATCTATTATTTATTGGGGGGGGGGTGACTGTCCTTTTCTTCCTTTCACCAAAATGTCCATTTGTGGGAAAACGAGGGGCTCCTTCTTTCTTTGCCGTGGATCTGAAATGTTTCATTTGGAAGTTGTGCTTTTGTTTGTTGCAAGACCCAAGCCAAACATCCTGGCCTCCATTCGGGGGTTCAAATACCACCCGGAAATGTCTTCTTGTCACTCATGCCTGTCATTTACAATGGGAGCAAATTCCATCAGAATATTGTAGAACCCGGTTCAAAAACCATCTTGTCCGGCGGGCTTATTTTTGTGTGCGTGCGCGTGCGTGTGGCGGTGTCTGGCAGCTTGACTTGTTTGTGTTGAACATCGTCCGACGCGTAGCCGCAAGCGTCGTCTGTGTTTGAGCCTCTCCTTGTAGCCAACGTTGGCGTCGTTTGGCCTTCAGGGTTCCTCGGTTGCCCCGCAAGCGTTCAAATTGGGTCGAAAACGGGGCCCTTTGCCTTCAGCTTGAGTTGCGAGCGCTCGACTTGCGCCAATGAAAATCACGAGTGAGGCGTGACGTGGCCCAAAAGCGGCGACGCGGCCCAAAAGCGGCGAGCGACGCCTCGGGAGGAAGGCGACTCTTGCCAAAACCCGACCAAAGCTGAAACCTATCAGAAAGGGTTTCCCGGTGCCGTCTTTGCCACGAGCGCGCATTCGTCTGCGCTCGTGGCAAAGTTCACCAAATCCATTTTTTCCCATTTCTAGTTTGGATTGGACTCGAGCTCCGAAAGCAGAATCCGAGCGCTCATCCTTTTGCTTCTCTCTCTCTCTCTTTTGCCGCCATGTTTAACCTCTGCAGTGTCTGTTTTAATTAATCTAGGGCTACATTCCAAAAAGCAAATGGGAGATGGACACGTCGGAAGCAAAACTGGGTAGGTTGACAACAACCCGCAAGACTTCCACGTTTGCGCCCCTGACATGACCCGGCTTGATTTGTGATGTTGGCGTACAGCTGAAATGGAGGGCGGGGGGGAGGCATGTTGAGAGGGACCGTCTTTCTGCGCCTCCGAAAGTACGGCGACGTACGAGTCGGTCTGGAAGTGTTGCTAAGCGACGGAGGGGGAATCCCGCACTGTACATTTTATTCGTTAGCGAGGTTGCGGCGGCCCTTCGCTTTACCCGCGGTTCGTCTTAATGAAGGCCTTCTCGCTATTTCCGGTCGTTCTCGTGAAACTGCAAATGAGTTAATGAACGACGTGAACGTTACAGCGGCGGTGGAAACGGTGTCGGCGGGTTACGTCGAAAGGGAGCTTCGACGGCCATCCGCTTCGTCCGAGCGGGGGGTCTCTGTTGCGGACAAAGCCCGCTGCCGTCGCGCCATCGACGGACACGCTGAACCGCTAGAGCGGGGCGGACGTCGAGTCGCGCTGCTCTCGCATCGCGGGCCTTCCCGATCTGTGGCCTCGTCAATAACTCGAGTCGATTGTGTGGCGAGAAACGGGAAAATGAGCTTGGACGTCAACATTGGGCCAATCCATTTTGGACCGTATGTCAACATCACAGTGGGGGGGAGGGGGGTGTGCTCAGAATCGGCAATCAGCCTAATTTGCCCGCAAACAAACGATGGCGTTTTCATCGGTAAAGCAGAGTACTTGACAGCAGCAGCTCGACGAGACGAGCGGGCATATTTTGCAGCCCGTAAACGCCAGCGGGATTTTTGTCCGCCGTGACCTGAATAGCAACGGTGGTGCATTTCTTCAGACAAGCTGGACGGTTTGGGGAGCGGCAGCAAGAGGAAGCGCGACGGCGATCACGTGGCGGGCGGCCTGGAGGACTTCCTTCAGCTGCCCGACGACTACGCCACTCGCAAGTCTCAGCCGGGAAAGAAGAGGGTAAAGCAATACTTTCCGTATCTCCGCGTGGCACCCGCGGGCCTTTCCCCGCCCAGCTCCGCTTAATTCATCCTCGCGTACCATGAAATGCCCCCGCTTGAAATAGACCCGGCGGGGGGGCAGGCGGCGCTTTTTAGCTCCGCGCTTTTGTTTCGTGTTCAAATTGAGAGCCGTGCATGTCCTGCTCAAACCGCCGTTGACTTTTTTCCCCCTTCTTTCGAAAACCTCTTTAGGTGCGATGGGCTGATCTGGAAGAGCAAAAGGACGCCGATCGCAAACGGGCGATCGGCTTCGTGGTGGGCCAAACGGACTGGGAGAAAATCACCGACGATAGCGGGCGGCTCGCGCAGAAAGCCCTCAACCGTACAAAGTATTTCTGAAAGATCATCTTGAAGCCCTTTTAGGGCTTTGTTTTCCACAAAGGTACGTGCGGCTCTCTTCTAGCGTGTCGGTTTCGGTGCAGCGTGCACGCAAACGCAAACTCGCGTGACGTCGGCTCGTCAAATGATTCCGAGCGGCTCGGCGCGAGGTTTGCCGGTCGCGCGGCCGCGGGAAGGCCGCCCGTGCGAGGCTTCGGCGTCCCTCCGTCGTAAAGTGGAAGGAATGGGGTCCGGCTTTGGCGTGCGATTTCAAAGCATTGACGCCGGTCGGCAGACTTATTTGAAAGCGGCGTCGCGGTGTTTCTCCGTGTAGGTCACGTGAGATTTTTCAATTAAGAAGACTTTGAGTACTTGTCGATCGGTTGCGCTTGAGCATCGCCGGGACTTGGACCGCTTTTTTGTTTTGGCGCCCAAATCTCCAAAATCTTTGTTTTGTTTTGCAGGTCTCCGAACCGTAAAAACACGAGACTCTTCAATCAATTCTTGATTTTTCTTTGACAAGGACAGCTCCACTTTTTTTTCCTTTCTTAAATAGGTTTAGGTCATCCTTCAAGTAGTTCTTGTGTATTCAGATGTGATTTCTTGATGTTTTATATCTGTAAGCTGTTGGTTTGTCAAACCATGTCGACTGTAAGAAAACAATAAAAATTTCACACACTCGAATTGGCCAATTTGCGGTCGCATTCATCGGTCGAGGTCTTTCTTGTCATCCATTTCTGTTCCTCAGCTCGAGGTCATCGGCGAGTCCAGAAATGCAAATGAGGCCTTCCAGCTTCCCCAAAGTGGCCAGTCACTAAAAGTGCAAAATGTTTTGGTTCAGCTCCAGAGTCGTCTTCTGACGTCTTCAGCTTGTGCCGGTCTAGACATCCGCGCACACATACATATATGTATGTATGTATGTATAGATCTATCGGATCTATATATAGATATATGTATGTATGCATGTGTGGTGTGTTCATATCGCGTTGTTATCCTAGGGCACGCCCGTCGTCTTCACGCTTGAACATTCAAGTCGTACTCGGGAGTTGGAAACGCAAAGTCTCCGCCGTCACCAAGACGTACTTTTTTTATGAGGAAGAAGACATTTCCATTGTTTCCAGAAGAACGCATTGGAATTTTCCGTCATCGGTCTTTGATTGGAACGCCATTTTGAAGTGAAGCCAGCCGCTTGAAAAGCGAAGAGGAACCTGCGGCACGATGGGGGGCTTGGCGGCGCATACGGCGCAAATGCTGTCGCGCAGTCGCAACGCGCCTTTCCCAGACATTTCTGACGGTTGGAAAGCCCGATTCCCTTTTGATCGACCAACATTCCAACTTTTTGTTGCCTCGCCCTTTGGCAAGGACCCTATTTTAAAAGAAGGGCGACCCCCCCCCCATCATCGAAAAGGATTCGGACCTCGCCGAGGGACCAGAACATCGTTTCTTTTTGCAAGTCGTCGATCGTCTACCGAGAATGTTTGTCACGACCATTTGATTGGGGCTCGGATGACATCCCCGACCCCCCCACCCCAAAAGATGAAGATGGCCCGATGAAGAGAGTTCAACATTATTCCAGCTGTCACTTCTTTCCAATTGTCATTAAATATTCAACAAGCACTCAAGTCGTGGGTTTTCATTTATTTCTTTGGGGTTTGTTGACACACATCAATGATCCACAAATTATTTCAGGCGGTTAAAAAAAAAAAAAATCAAATGCAGCAAATAAACTGCTCTTGATTTTTTTTTTCCCCCCCCAATCTTTAATTTATCCAGGCAAGGCAATTGAGAAGAGGTTCACTTTTTCCTGCCCGTCCGTGCATTGTCGTGTTCAACAGAGAATATTTTGCATCTCGGCAGCCAGCAAATGTTTTCGTTTGAGGAAACTTGCATTCCGCAAAAAGCACCTTGCCGATGGAACGTTTCCCGGCATTCCCAAGCCCCTTTTCTTGCCAGTCCACTGCAAGATTTGGACTTTTAGCTGATACAACCTCGAGCTGTTGAAACTGTGCAATTCTTTTGAGCGGCCGCTGTGTACTTCAATCTGTTGAGTATTCGAAACCCAAGGGGGTGGGGGGACACGACTCGAACTATTACGTACGCACGAGGAACTACTTTGTGGGCACAACCGACCGACTCCTTCGGGCGCGCGGACGACCACGCGGCGTGCACAAAATGGTTTGAAAGTGCGCACAAAGTAGCCGGGTGACTTGAATGAGAAAACGGAATGCTCCTTCTTTCAAAGTTGACAGGTTGAAGGAAAGCCACGTAACACGCGGAGACAGCGTGACCGAATTTTGTTTTAGGCTCGGGATGAGTTAGGCCGACATCTGGAAACGATGGCCGTCGCAGGGAATCCCGATCATTGTCGTCCCCCCCCCCCCATATGTCATGCCTGGGGCTCTCACGAACGAGTCCTTTTGCATTCAGTTCCTCTTTCCAAAACTCGAAGGGGCCCGTCGATGCTCCCGATGGAAAGCGCCTCGCGGCTCAATAGGCCCGCGTAAGCCAACGGCGCCGTTGCGGAAGCCCAGACGTCAAGTCGTCGGCAGGCTCTCCCGCTCCGTAAGGCATGAATTGCGCCGGAAGGTCGGCGTCCAGCTTGCAGATCACCTTGTAGATGGCCTTCTTCCACGATGGATCTCGGTCCTTGCCCGTGGAAACGGCAGCGTAGAATTGCCGCAGCGTAAGTTCTGCCACTTCAAGGAAGCCGTCGGGGACCTGTTTGGAAAGGCCCATCCGTCAATTAGACCGCCCTTGAGCGCAGCGATCTGGGCCAGCGCCCGCCCGGATCCTAGAGCGGGCGTAGTCGATAAAAGGTACGCCGACGTGAAGCAAAAAACGCCTGCTGCGTGGGGCCCTAACACCACGAATGCGCCTTTGCTTGGCCAACACCCAACTGGGTCAAGCCGTCGAGCGGAATCCCGCTGCTTCGGGGATTTCAGCGATACAAGTTGGCCCATGTTCTCAGATCACATCTCGTGTTCAAGAACATGTCTTTTTTTCTGACTGCCTTTGACAGTGATCAGTCAAACATGACCCCCCCCCCCAAAAAAAAGACAAAATGCAGAAGCTGTCCTATGAACCACCAATAAAGTTGAGCCATATCGGTTGGCTTTTCCCAGACCAACATCACTTGAAGTCGCGGGCTAACAGTTGGCCCCTTGCGGCTGAAGCCAAAGGGCGGCCATCTTACGTCGCCGCCGTTCCCCACAAGGAAGGTTGGCTTTTGGCGGCACGTTTGACCCCAGGGTAGCCGTCTGTTGTTTTCAGAGCCCGATGACGCAGACCAATCTTTGTCTAGTGCATCCGCATATCCCTTCGGACAGAAAATTCATGATCGATGAAATGCGCGCGCAGTGCGGAACCACTCGGACTCCCGTCGCGCCCGGGTTTTGAGGCCAACGTGCCGAGCTGTGAACCCGAGCGTACGGCAAAATTTGTCGGCGGCGCCAAAGAAAAGGGCTTCCCGGGCCGGCGCAAAGCTCACCTGGAAGTGGCCGCCTTTGTCGTAGTGCACCTTGAGGACTCTGAAAAGTTGCGACTCTCTGCCCACAGACAGCGCCCTCGCGTCGGCCGCCCCCTCCGCCAAGGCGCGGCGTGCAAAGCGCTCCACCTGGATGTAGTAGAACTCGCGGAAGTTACTGAACCACTTGATGAGCCGGGAGGCGCCGCGGCGTGTGAACTGCAAGGTGTGAGGGGGGGGGCGGTGGGGGGGTGGACAGCGAGGTAAGTGAGATCATCAAAAGCCTTTTGCTGTGCTCATCCTGCAATAACAGGAGAGGCCACGTGAGCGAACCCTTGGCACCGACGGGGCCTCCCTCCGCCGTCTCACCTGCACGTCACGGAAGCACAGCCTCAGCACCCGCCAGCTTGGATAGCGCGCGTAGAAAAACATCAGCTTGGCTTTTTTCAGGTGGTCGGCGGTCAGAGCCTCCTAAGTGGAACGCGGGTAAGGACAACGCACCTCGCTACGGTGAGCCGCCACGGCGGAGCTCGACGTGAGCTTTACCGGGGGGGGGGGGCAAGCGCAAAAAAATTTCAGCCAAACGGCCCGAAAAACCTGCAGCTTGCTTTTGTCATCTCCTGCTGCAGTTCGTTTAACATTTTGGACTTCCTTTTCTTGTTTTGTGCCTCGGCTTGACAGCGACCGGCGACTGGGAGCGAGCGATGGCTTCACGCCAGCGCGCCTGGCCGCCCCCCCCCCCCCTTCTTTGGAGAACCGTGTGAGCAGTCGAGTCTCTTGTTTGCCCCAAAGTGAGGTCAGAGACGAGAGTGAAAAAGCCTTTCGTTTCAGAATGCGCCGCGACGAGTTGAAGCGCGTCGTGAGCCCGGCCGGCCTTCGCTACCGCTTGCGCCCTTCCGTCCCTTTTCTGAACGGGGTGGCGGGCGAGCTGGACCCGAACCGGGCTGGCTTCCGGTCAGAGGCGATACATCCTGACACCCAATCGCAGGGCACAAAGACAAACAACTCTTCCCACCTCCCAATAACCAAAGACAGCCGCGATAGACCCCGCTATGAGGGGAAAAAAACTGGATGAGAGAACGCATGATAAAGTCACAGCAAATTTTTGAACTGTGGTCATGAGACCAGGACGTTACAAAAGGATACATTCTGGGCTTTGCCTCAAAGGATTCATCAAATTGATTTTATTTTAGGTCTTGCGGTACTTAAAAAAAATGCGGTGGGGCGGTGGGGGGATCAAGATCGTTATCCAGATTGCATGAATGATCTTCTTGGTTTTTTACGCAGTTCTACAAACTAGAACGTCGATGCCAACACGAGAGGATACATTGAGGCTGTAAAGCTGAGCGTGGAGAAGACCTCCCGGCTCCATCTTGACACGAGGGAAGCAAACACTCGCCGAGGCCGTCGACTCCGCAGCGGTCACGTGAGTCGTCGCCGGGCTCCTCCGGGATCCGGACCTGACCCGGGATGGGACTTTGGCCGACTTCTGCGGCGCATCCACCTCGGCTTGCCTGGCTTCAAACTCCGAGCCGCCTCCTTTGCCGCGGCGACGGACGGCACTCCGAGTCCGGTCGGGTTCCGGCTCCACTCCCGACGGCAGGCGGTGGAATCCGTCCGCCCCGTGTCTCGGTACCACCAGAGAAAGCGCCTCGGTTTGAACGTCGGGTACCCGCACCTCATTGCCACCCGAGGACTGCCGATGAGCGTTTGGGGATGACTCGGCGCTCGCTTTTTGCCACCGGCCCTCTCGTCGCGGCACGCTTTGGAAAATGGACTCGACGCCGGTACTCGTCACAGCTCTGGCCAGTTGGTACTTTAAAACACCGGCCGTGAGTGAAAGATGTGTCCGCTTGTCGAACCCCGGGGAGCTTCCGCTTGAGATGCTTTCAGACTCCTCGGAAGAGGGGCCATCCCTCCAAGTCGTGTCTGATGAGCAGTTCCGCGTCGGCTGTCGCTCCTCCGGAAGAGTTGCCGTGAGAAACCGCTTCTCGCTTACCTGCGGTCTTTGCGCGGGGTCTCGTTTCATCTCCCCGACTGGCGAGCCGGTCATGCCTCTTATGATCTTCTCCACCCGGGCTCGCTTCGCTCGATGGCCGCTCGGTTCGGCCGCGGGGCATGCGTGCGACCCGCCGCCGCCGCCATGGGAAAAACTCTCGGACGCGGTCCCGTTCATCCGGCTGCCTTTTTCCAGGAAGGCATCTCGGGATTTTGCCCGACTGGGATGGCGCTCACAAGAACGGAGCTGCCCGGCGGCGGCGCGTCCATCCGGGCGGGCGCCGAAGTCCGCGCCTTTGCTCCACATGCTCACATTCACGGCAGAGTCGAAAGTCAGTCGGGCCGTGGCCCTAAAGTCGGGAGGGACACACAAAGTTCTTCTACAGCGGGAATACTGTATGAACAAACGCGTACGCGATTTCCGGCAGCCTTCATGCGCGAAACCTTTGGATGATGCTTCTTAATAAAGCAAAGATAAACACACAATTGAAATACATGACGCGTGAATTGGGAGTACAGTAGTCGGGTATGTGAGAAGCATCTTCGACAATGTTCATTTCAAAGTACTGGCGGTCCTACCTGCTGCATTTGCGGGAGAAGTCTTCGGAGGACGGCGGCTGAGCGGCAGAAGAGTTCCCGGGTGAGCTCATTTAAAAAGGAAGGAGGGGAGGGGGGGGGCGCCCAACACGTTGGAGCGGCCCCTTTTCTACCCACGTCCACCAGCGCGGCCAACAAGTCCTATTGTTGGTCGGTTCGTGTCCCGATATTTCCGCTCCCTTCAAATTTGTCATGCGTTTTTTTGTTTGTTTGTTTTCCTCCCATCTATGAGAAACTCTTGGACCCCCGTTTCTCAGCAACAGTGGTACATTCCACTCAACCGGCGTCGGGCTCCCGAAGCTCTCCGAAAGCCACCTTGCCGTCTCCGGGGCCCCCAAACTCTCGCCACCTGACCGGGTAAGTCGCTTCAAACGAGCACGCGGTTTTTGTATGAGCGACGCGGTCCTTTCTTGCGCTCTTTTCGATCGCGTTTCGGTCGGCGAAAGCAAAGCTAGCTGGCCGCTCGCCATTTCGAGGTCGACGGCGACGTTGCCCCAAATCAAACCGGAGCGTTCTTCTCCTCAGTTTTGCGCTTTTCGAAACAAGCCGTCGAGACGAGACTGGATTTCCGATAAATACGCAAAGCACCCAACGACTGCACCGTGTCCATAAGTTCCTTTTCTGAAATGACATCTTACTCATTTCCTGCCGTTTAAACCCGGAGCGGAGCCGTCGCGTTGGTGGCCGTCGACCCTGCCCGTAGCCTCGGATTGCTTTTCCAATATTCCTCGTTCTGAGTAGCGAAATGCCCTTTCTGTTTTTCAGATTCACATTCAGCTGGTCTGCCAGATGGTCCGGACCCGCCGCTGTTCTTTGGAGTTTTGTTCTGATGTTCATCAACAAACCCGTCCCGTGGGAGGACTCATCAAAGCCAGGTAAGGTCACTTCCAAATGGTCAATTCCGTACTCTGACACTCAAACTTTTGGCGAGAGTCAACGGGGAAAGAGCTGTGCACCCCAGACCGGAAATGCGGTGTTGTGTTGACGAGCCACGGCCGACAGTTTCTCTCAGGTTCGTTCTCAGAATTGCGTGAGCGGCCCTAAACGGCCCAGCGGCCCCGGGTTGGCCAACCCTCTTGTTGGCTGTCACAGCATGTTTCATCTCGTGCCAAATCCTCCCCTGCGTAAATGCATCCGGAGTCTTCAAAGCGAATATTAGCCAGACGGCTCTTGAAAAGACCCAAATAATTAGGGGTTGTTTTTTTGGGGGGGGGGCAAGTCTTGAGGGTTGCTTGTTCCTTTCTGCCACTGCGCAAACACGGCCCTCGAGTGCATGCAGCTGCGAGTGAACACCTCTCCAGTATTTTGCGTTTACTTTATTAATCACGGGGATATGATTGCGGGGTGACACTGAGACTCCAACGTACGTCTTTGTTTCTGTGCCAGCGCCGACCCAAAGGTCCGAGGTAGCCAAAAAACACGGAATCCATTAAGGTGGAAACAAACGAGGAGGGATGTGAGATTAGCATGAGAATATGGCCGCCTGAATGCACAAAACAATGGCCCGGACTGGCTTTGAATTGAATTGTTTATTTGCAGAAGCGCTCAAGATGCCCATTAGCGTTGCGGAGATGCGGTTAATTGGCAGCGTACGCCAGTGGGAGCATCGAAATCGGAAGGGTTCTCGGACGTGTTTTTTGCCGCTTCTTGAAATGGCGGTAAGAAGACGTCTTTTGTGTTGCTTCGCCGGACGAGACGGGCCCTTTGCAAACTCTTCGCTTTCATTCATCCACATCAGAGACGTCGTTTGGCAAAATGATCCCCCCCCGCCCTCCTGTCTTTTGATTCATTGACACAATGGCGTTCATGTTCGTCGAAGCAAGGGCTGCTTCATAGCCCCCGAAAGTGTTTGGTGCGGACTCTTGCTTTTCAGCTCAAAACAAAGTGGCACTGTCCCAAATTGGCAAGACGGACAGATGACAAGTGTGGAAAGCGAGCGATTGATGTGGCCGCAGACTGTGAGATTTGGTCCGTGTCGCTCTCGTTGATAAAAAAGGCCGCGATGGTCCTCGGCCATTCGAAGAAGCGCAAGCAAGGGGCGACCGTCTCTTCTCGTTGGCTGGCGGCCATTTTCCAAGCCGGCATTCGGACCGATCTTGTGTGCGGTGACGGCCTCGGAGCCAAACGTTCTTTGAGGAGAGAGAGTCGACTCTCTTCCTTTACGGAGTGCGAGGCGCCTTCAAGTGTCCAGCTTCTAACGTGTTGGCGTTTCTCTTTGTCATAAAGTCACAAACAAAGATTGGCTCTTTACTCGGAAACCGTGCAGATCTCGAATCCAAAGCGACGCGACGCCCACCGCCAGACCTGAATTTGACAGACAAGCTGGACAAGACCCTCTTCATTGTCTACCCGTCGAAAAAAAACGTTCCAAAGAAGAAAAAATAAGTTTGTTGAAGTTGCTCGTGCTCCCCACGAGACCCACGATGGAGGCTGATTGCAAATCAGAATCGCACTTAATGTCCGCGTTGCGCTGATATCACTTGTGACAAAGCCCGTCGAACCCCCCCCCCCCTTCCCTTCCCGCGCTTGTTTTCTCGACGTTATTTTGGGGGTGGAAAAGCCAAGAAGACGAGGGCTCTTGATGGCGGTTCACAAAGTGTCCGGCAGATGGCGCAACGCACCGTCCATCTCACTATTGGGAAGCAATGCAGCCCAAAGTGCCCCCCCCCTTCAATAGACTCCATAGCCCAAATCAGCTCTTCTCTCTCCCCCTTTGCCTTTTTTTTTTTTCCCCTACCAATGAGTGATTGTTTCTGTAACTGGCGCTATTTCCAATTAGTTCATAGAGGTACAAAAAAAAATGGAGACACACTGACTCCTGTTGTTCGAAAATAGACTTTAATCTACTCGGGGTAACAGTCATACATGGGCAGATACATGTCCAGACATTGAAATACTGCTCAGCTGAGACAAAGCAAACCAAACGTAACACTTGTTTTCACGGCGCAACATGACGACAGACACGCTGTCGTTTTGAAGGATCACATCAAGCGATCGACGGCCATTTAACCGTAAAATGTGTTACAAAGCGGTAGAAAAACGAGTACAAGAAATGACAAAGACGGCTGTAAACGCGATTTATTTTAGCCTTATGTGCTATTTCATGACGCCAGCGTCACCACGAGTCGGATCAACCGGTAACTGTCGTCATTTGTGGGCGGCAGATGAGAGTCGCACCCCCCCCCCACCCCTCAAAAAAAAAAAAAAATGTGGTGGCGTACTCGCACTGAGTATAGTGTGCCAAAAGTCGACAGCTGTATATTGGGCAAGCACACGAAGGAAAAGCGTTGAGCGGGCACGGCGGTGAGCTGGGTGTCCGCTGGTCCCTTTTTTGTGTGGGTCTGTGCGTTTTCCTTTTGTATGCCGACCTGGTCAATTGGTGACGGGGGGGGGCTTTCCGGTCTCGGACAGAGGCAGCTCGTGTTAGCGGGGCCCACCCGGCGGACGGGCGCAGCCGCAGAGTCCCCGCGAGGGTCCGGCTCGGAGCTCAAGAAAAGTGAAAGTGGCGCGCGTCGAGGGAGGGGGGGGCACTCGGCGGCGGCGGCTTCACTCGCCGTGGGCGGACAGCCGCTCCAGCAGGGGGTCGTCCTCGCCCTCGGGGGTTTTGACGCTGTCGGTCCTCACGATGCAGGTGGGCCGGTGGAGGTTGAGCATCACCATCAGCTGCTGCCGCTCCAGGCGCAGCTCCTCGATCTGGGCCTTCAGATCCGAGTTGACCATCTCCAGACGCTCCGACTCCTTGAGGGGAAAAAACGCAAAGGGTCGGCGGGTGCTCACGTGATCTTTGGGCCGCGCCGCGTCACCAACTCACCCTCTGAAGGAAGTCCGTTCGTTCCTTCTTCTTGTTTCGGCATCGCGCCGCCGCTACTTTGTTTTTCTCTCGCCTTCGTTTCCTCCTCTCTTCGTCTTCGTCCATCTGCAAACAAGCCGAGCTTCAGCTTTGAACGTGTGACTTCAGACCGTTGCGACGTCCCCACGCCCGCCATTTCGCATTGTGGGGTGAAGTAGAACATGCCGGGGGATGTAGTTTACGTCGAAGGTGTTGGACGGACAGCGCTTGGTTCCAGCGGCACTTAGACGTGCTCTCAAAATCAAGCTCGACTCGCCATTTGTACCGTTTTCATTTTTGCCTTGGAGCTTCTGCTAGCGCAAGCCTTTTTCTGTCTCGGCTTATGCAAGCAACCTCATCGCGATCGTCGTCGGTGCGGCTTCCCCTTTTTTTGTCTTCCCCCTTTACCTCCGTCTTGATGCTCAGCGGCCTCTTTCCCAGCCTGCCGAGGAAGTGCAGCGGCGAGAACATGGCGCCCAGCTGGTGAAAGTCGGCCAGCTTCAGCTGGTCGGTGAGCGTGGTGGCCGAGATGCGCGCCGGCGGGCCCAGGCAGGGCAGGGAGCCCGCCGCCAGCGAAGGGTCCGGTATCTGTCCCGGCATCATGTCCGACCCGGCCCCTCCCCGCCGCCGCCGCCGCTGTTGGAAAAAGAGACGGGACGTGTTTTTGGGGGGGTGCGTATCCCAGCAAAGTCATTTCTCACGATCGCCGGCGATGTTGCGGTTCCCGACGTCAGCGTCTCCTGACATTAGGAGATAAGGAACCCCCCCGACTGCGTATCCTGTCTCAGGTGACTTCTGGAACGGTGGCCAGTCAATTGCAATTTGCCTATCGAGAGACGAGCATTCACGTTGTCCCTGACTGGAAACTGAACCGTTGATGTCACATTTGGGGAGCTGTGGGGGGGGGGATAGTGCCCAGCCAAGTGTGTCAAGAGCTTTCCAGCCGTCAGACAACAAAACATGGGGACAACTCTCATGTGGACTGAATGGGTGAATCGAATAACTTTGAAAACGGAATCCCGCAGCTTTGGACCCATGTTAGTAGCGCAGACCCCCGCTCGCCACCCTGCGTTTGATTGCAGCAGCAATGCCGCATTCCCCAAAGAGGCCTCGTTGCCAATGATATTCCCCCATTGTCCCCCCCCCCCCTTTGCTTTTTTGGCAACAGCTTCCGTGCCCGGACAGGTTGGACGGGAGCCGAACAAACAAAGCCCCTCTCAGACGGAAGAAACAAAGATCACGATTGTGCAACGCTCTCAAACAGCTGACTGTGCTGACAAGTCGAGGATGGCTGGTAAAGTTGTGCCGTTTTTTTTTTTTCTTCTTCTTCCCCTGCCGCACTGTAAGGCTTGATACATAGAGGAAGGTTGTGTAACTCAATTCTTATGTCCTCCGCCCCCGCATATCGACTGCTCAAGTCTTTTTTACAGTTGGGCTGGAAAGAGAAGGAATTGATTCTTGACTCGCAAGCAGTGACAAAAAAGATGGGCCGTCTTGAAACGCGAGCCAGCGACATGACATCTTTTCACTTGAGACGTTTCGCATTGTTCGGAGACACGCCGGCAAGCTCCCCCGCCGCGTTTCTTCTGACCTCTTCTTGCAGCGCTTTTGGGTGAGAGACTGACTGATTCGCTCCAAGGACAAGTTAGGGTGCGGAGCCAGTGTCAAATGAGGCATTTTATGATTTCATACCTCCCCTCCCCTCTTTTTTTTGGGCGGGGGCTGGGGTGGGGGGCGACTTCTCCCTCTCGCCCACTTGGTGTATAACTCCCATTTACACGGCGCTTGGCAGCCGCCTGTTGTTTTTGCTGGAGAGGAAAAGAACAAGACAGCTCTGGTTAAGATCTTTCTTCGACAAAATTGCCTCTCGGCGAAACTCCTGCGAGGGACGTCGTAATGGTCGCTGCCAAGGACTTTGCATTTTGCGCCGAGGCTGACCCGACCGACCCGGATGCTCGCAAACGCAGAAGAAAGAAGGGCCGGATGAATGAAGCCGTCCACCGTCACGACGTCCAAGTTCATTTTTGAGCTTTAGGAACATTATTTCAAGCTCAAAAAAAAAAAAAAAACCCCATCTAGGTGAAAATCGTGGCCACGAAGCGGAGCAATCACCCCCAAACAAATCTAGCCGCCAAAACCTTCAAGTCCCTGTTAAGCTGAAAGCAAAATGTCTTGTGAATTGGACACGCCACACGGGAATGTCATTCACCCTGTGGAATTCAAATGCGAATCTCAAAATTGTGAAAAATCATGCCTGAAACCACAGCCACTTAACTGTCAATCCGATACCGCGACAGTACTGCGAGCTTGAAGTCCAACCTTTTTCCTTCTGCCTGCACCGAACTGGGTTTGGCTGGCCAAAATCCCATCAGCTCAAAGCCTGGGTGGGCTGCCGTGTATCCTCCCTCAGCTTTCCTCCCTTGTCTGATGCTGTCAAGTTGGACGAGTTGAAAGAAAAATGAAAAAAAATCCCGCGTAGCCGCTGATGCAATGAGGCGCACTCGAGCGGCTCTACGCCGGCAGACGATCCAAAGGGAAGATGAGCTCAAGTCCTTGGATAGTTGGGGCAGGGGCCACTCTTGCCCAACTGCAAAGTTCCCTGGGCCCCGTTTGTCATTTGAGACAAGTACCACTGACGATCCCCCCCCTTGTAAATCAGAAGACATTGGTTAACCAGCATACCGGAGAGTTAGCATGTTCAACCGGCGAGGTTCCGCTGGAAGATGGAAAGTGTTGCCAGAAAGCAGCATGATGATGCAATTGTGAGCCATCGGCATATTTTTTGCCTGTGTTTGGAAATAGAAGACATGCATGGGAGGATTCTCTCATGTGGAAACGCTGACGTTTTTCCATCCGACACAAATACCCAAGCGGCTGAAGGCCAAACGCATGGAAACTTGCACGATGCTGTTTACAAATAGCGCCTTTTTTTTTTAGGCCACTTTGCCGATGAGGAGTCAGGCAAATGACGGCTGCCGATGACCAGAAGTGACTCATTCAAATGTCGTAAAAGAGGGGACGTGATGGCCACACGTGCCTTTTGGCCGCACGATGGCCTCAAACAAAGATGCGTACGCAGGCTGGTGGCAGGCGGGCGGTCTGACTCGGAGGACAAGGCAAGAAGAGATGTGGCGAAATGTACGAGCCCCGCTCAATGTCGTTTCTGGCCCCGACCCAAAAGCAATCTCGCTTCACGCCAGCCGCGGCGAGCTGGACTCGCTCGCTCGCTCCCGCGCACGCACACTGCGCCCTGTGTCTGTTGGAAATGCGCTGGCCAAACCCGGGCCGGCTTTCGGCTTGCTCCATTTCCTGAGAACAATTAGCAGGGCTGTGGAATTCCTTCCCGGGAGCCGGCGAGACGAGCGGCGGGCGGGCCCCCTTACGATCCGCATCCCCCTACAGCCACGCTCAATGAGAGGCGTCCAGATGAGGGGCTGCGAGGGGGCTCAAAGGCCTCGCATTACTTTTCCATCTTTTTAGGGGGGTGGGCCAAATGAAGTGTCCTGAAACCATCGGGACAACGATGGACTGTTGGTCACTCAATGCCAACCAAAGGTCGGCTTGACCTGGAGTCCGAGTTGCATTTTTACCTTTTACGGGAGCACGCAAACCCGCTTCCGAAATGGAGCGAGCCACTCCTTTAGCCAGCGCCCAAGTTAAAAAGAAAGCCCCCCAAAACATCTCATTTCGAACCGGTGCGAAGGCCGCCCAGCAGCCTCTCGCTTGGATGAACTGTGCTGTGGAGGGGCGAACGAGTCCAACGACACAGGACGGACGTTCCCGCCGCCCGCTGAGGCAATGGCCGTCACTTGCAAGCCGTCTCATACTTTGTCCTGTTTCGTCATCCGTCCAGCAGACTCTTGCTCTGATGATGGCCTCCTTTGCCCCATTTGCTCTTGTGCCAATCATATATCTATGCAGAAAAACTACCCCCCCCCCACGAACTGCGCATCGCTTCACAGAACACGTGGAAAGGTTTACGGGGCCGACAATGGCAGACGGATAATGTGATACCGTCAGCAGTGCATATGGGGGCCCCCCCCCCCCTTTTTCTCTCAACAGTCCCGCTAGTATGACTGAGCTCGCTGTTGCATAGTTGGCTGGCTCGCCTGCAATGCGTCTGCAGTGCGGTGCAGCCCGGCAATTCCACGGCTCCCCACAGACACACCGGAAGGCATTTCTCCTTAAAATAAACCACTCGCACCCACGTCCGGCTTCTCGGCATCGTCAACCCCGAGCCGCCTGCGTGTTGGCGGCGTCGAAGGATGTGCCGGCGCTTTGCATTTTTCATGAAATCAAAGTGCAGCAGTTGGAGAGTCGTGCCAGTGACAAACTTGGCAAAGACTTGCTGCCCGCCATCGAGACGGCGCTTCCCATTCCGTGATCGGGCTCAACTTTTCGGGGCCTCGGAAGGCGGACCACTCGCCCCCGACGGCGTTGGGTTGATTTCGACAAATCGTTCTTCCGTCCCTAATTTCAAGTAGCCCGTCGTGATGGCGACGAGTGTCAGCAACCATGGAAAACTTTGTGGAGACTTACTCAGAGAGAACTTCTTCCGTCAATGGTGCAACTTGTGTCGGCACCCTGTGGAGAAGAAATAGGAGGGCTCGTTAGCGTTCCGATTCCATGCGGCTCCTCGCCAGAGTTTTCTCACTTGAGTGTCGGTGTCGAGCCCATCAAACGGTATCGTGCCCCGGTCGAATATTTGAAAGCTCGGCCGTCGGATGGCGACTCTCTCTCTCTCTCTCTCTCTCTCTCTCTCTCTCTCTCTCTCTCTCTCTCTCTCTCTCTCGATGAGCGCCGCGTTTGGTTCGGATGCCGCTCGCAAACGCCGAACGGCTTCACGCGAATCCCGTCCCGAATAAAAATGCGGTTTTTACTCGACTGAATACTTGCAAACCATGCCGGGGCACGTGCATTCACTGCGGGTCAAACATGAGCGATTTACAAAAGGGGGGCGGGGGGGCGTGGAGGGAGACGCGACTCTCAAACGTCAAGCGCCCGAATGAACGCGACTCGGATGGACGGACGACCCGGCCGGACGCGAGGTTCCACTTGCCTCGAGAGCTCGCGACGTGTGAGCACTTTGAAAAGGCGTGCAAAGTGAGCGCAGTCCGTCTCGGCTTCGCGTGGAACTTGGCTCGCCGTGGTCCTGCGACGCGTCGGCGTTACATAAGTGTCTTCGCGAGCGGGATAGCCCCCCGCGCATCCGGAGAGAAACGCGGTTCGGTACGTTCAAAAAAAACCCAAATCCAAATGAAAAGTGGTCGTGTTTTTTTTTTTCAAGGTATCCTCGTGACACTCGTAACGAGCGTGTAAGGCTGCAAAGTTTCCAAGTCGTCGAACATGCAGTCGAGACGAGGGCACATGGCCGAATAGCGGCTGTGCTTCGCGAGCTCAACAAAATCATGTCCGTCGTGTACCTCCCCTCCACAAACCTACATGGTGATCACGACACAAACACCCCCACCCCCTCCGAATCCAATTGAGCACATCTGGGACATCATGTCTCGCCCCATCCACCAACGCCACATTGCACCACAAACTGTCCAGGAGTCGGCGGCGGGTGCGGGGACTAGCCCGAGTGGTTGCATCAGCCCGCTTAAGTAGTGGGCCAGGTCTGGGAGAGCTCCGGAATGCGGAAGTGGCCGAGCCAGACGTCAGCGTGCTCGAGAATCATGACGGAGGGGCGGGGCTGCGTTCGGCCGGCCCCCCTCCCTCCCCCCGCCCCCTAGCAACCGAAAACATACACAAGCCCGGAGGGAAACTTTCGACGCGGGGACCTCGGTGCGCGTGCGCGCTCCGCTGCTGCTGTTGACCAGAGACGGTACATAGAAACACGTTCACACGTAGCGCACGTCGCGCACGCGCCCCCCGACGCAAACGCAACAAAAAACGACAGGAGCGCATCATACTTAGCCTGGCCAGAAGGTGCCCCTCCGGGAAGTACGGCAGCGAAGAGATCGCTTCCTTTGTGTTTGTTGGATACGGAGCACCTTTGGCGTTCAGGACGGGAGACAAAAGTGGAACGTTGCAGTCAGTCTTTGGTGGCTTTCGCATCTCCATGAAACAAAAGCTGCTGCTCACGTTCATCTTTTGATCTGAAACCCAATGTCCAATGTCAAAAACAAAGGAATTGAACTTGCCGTTCCATTACTTTTGGACGGGACTGTGGAGAAAGAAAGAAAGAGAGAGAGAGAGAGATTCTGTCCATAACAAGTGCGCGTGCATGCACGCATGCGCACGCGTGGCCGAGAGCATGAAACGGCGATCTGAGAAGTGTCGATTTTGACTTGCGCTTGGTTTTAAATGCGCTTTGCTTTCCCCTTGTCAGCGGAGTCCCTCGGTCCAGCAAATTGGTGGCGCCCCATTCATTGACTGGGACGATGATCTGGCATGTTATTGCAGCTGGCCCCCGCCAACGCCGATGCTGTCAATCTCACAAGCGCATTTTGCACTTGAGGCAAAAGCGCCATTCTTTATTTGTCTTTGAAACTCTCCTTGACTCGGATTTTGCTTGAGTCGCAATTCCACGTCGTTTGAGAGAGAAACCTCAAATTGCGCGCAGCCGAGCTCCCGTTAGCTTCACCGGGGTTAAGAGCGCTTCGAGAAAGTTCCGGAAAACTCCCAAGACCGCCACTTTGGCCTCTCTGCTCTCCTCTTAAGCGTTGACGATCGGTGGCAAAATATCACTGCGCTCCGAAAGAGGACCTACAGAACGAGGCACTCTTTTCTTAACCCCCCCAAAAAAATCCTCCGCTCTGTTCCCTTTTTTTAGCTTCTGATTTGGCTCTGCTGTGATTTATGTCTCGCATGTGTGGGGGAGGGGGTCGTCTGTGTGCGTCACAGTCGATCCAAACATAGACATGGAACACATTTCAGAGGTGGCAATAAAGCAGAAGTGATCGTAAAACAGGCGCCGCGCTGTATGTTGGGGAGGACAAGATGGTGACAGGTACGCCTTTTGGGTGCACTCGGGATGTCACTTCGACGCATGACAAAAACAACGCTGCCAAATTTGGATGGGAAAAAAAAAACGGGGATATAAAGTCGGCCTTCAAAATCCGTCAAATCAAGCCATCGTCTTTACGTGTGAATGCTGCGATACTTCAGGAAAAGGCCGATCTGCTGCTATCGGATTGAAAGAAAACGTGCTTTCAAATATCCTTCTTATTTCAGTGGCCTTTGATGAAGATGTCCTTTTTTTTTTTTTTTTTTGGTTCAATTTCTGCACAAGCTTCCGTAACATGTTTCTGTGCGTTTTCCAGCCGGCGTTTGCTTCCTCCCCTTCCCAGAAAGAAGCGTCCTTGGGGTGAGCGCGGGCCTCCGAGCGGCTCAGCGGTGTTTGCCGATGACGCTGCTTTGCAACGTGTCTTGTGCAGAAGGGCCCGTTCTCACCTCTCTGGGGAAATCCCCCCGCCAGCCAGACACCATCCTGTCCCGTCCCGTCCCGTCCCGTTCCGTCCTGACTCATTCCTCATTCTTCCCCACGCCGCCGACTTTTGCAGACACAACAAGGCGAGCGACGCGTTTGAATTTCTTCCCTTCCTTCTTGTTGTTCTCCTTTCAGAATCATCTCAGACGAAAGCGCGTTGACGCTGCCGTTTGCACATTTGGAAATGTTTCCATATTTCATAAGAGCCCGCTAATAGGAAGTTGGCAGAGCCGTCTCGATTGACTGAGCGACCGAGATGCTCGCCATTCTGACAATTGCAGCGTGCGTGCCGACCGGATCCCGCGGAAATGTTTCTGTCCAAAAGCACGGGGATTTTCAGCCGCGAGGATGCTTTTGAGGTCAAAAAAAAAAAAGCCCAAACTAAGCGTGTCCCGTGTCCGTTGACGGCTGGCGGAATTGTCCGATTATGGCCTCGTTGGTTGAAGGAATCGTCTCCGTCCCCTTGTCGCAGGTCTCACATTTGCTGCGGTTCGTCACGAAGTCATCACGGTGCCCGAATCGAACCCTGCACCTCTGCACTGCGAGGCCGACATGCTCACCGGTCGCGCGACGTGCCGCCCCAGCTTTATTTCGTGTTATTCAAATGGGGTGGCAGGTCGATGCCGACTCCCACTTCACATGAGTTTTTAAATGTGGTGATGGAACACAGTCACATCGGCTAGTTGTGAGAACAAGGGTGTGTAGACTTTTCCTATGCACTGCAATTACATGCCGACCTCTCTACCTGAGTACTATCGAAACAAATCGCCAGTGTGTCTTTGTGTCATGTTGTGAGGTTTGCGGCTTCAGCGACCGGGCGATGTTTTGCCGCCGCGATGCCAGCAGAGGTGAGAAACGCCTCGCGAGTGGCCTGAAAAAAAAGAAGAAGAGGAAGAAGAAGAAGAAGGAAAAAACAGGTACATGGAGCGCAGATAACAAGTGAGTCAGACGACTTCAACGCCCACCAACTCTTTCCACGATCGCGGCTAAACATGGCAAACGAGAACCGGTCGATCGTAAAACGAGACGTGTACACTGACCGGCCATAACATTAGGGACACCTGCGCAATGCCACAGACGTGTTCATCGTTGGCGACAAAGCATTCACACTCTGGACTCGAGTAGAACGACACATGCTTCTGTTGAAAAAAATGATGTTAAACTTGTTTGTACTCATCTGATAGTGGAATTTAGTTTGGGTCCACATGACAAACTAATGTTGTGGCCGGCGAGTGTCGTGAGCACGCGGCTGGCCGCGAAGGGTGTAGCGCCCCCTGATGTGTCTCAAATCTACTGCGTTGACTTCCTCGCCTCAACTGTGCGTCGACGCACGAACGAGTGAGGTCTCTTCGTCGCACAGTGACCTTGAACGCACCATTTCCTGCCGCGTGGTGGCCCCCATATATTCATTCGACTCGTTCTTTCTTCGCGGACATCTCGTGATAGAGCACGACAAGTTGTGACGGGAAATGACATTTGAAATGCTCGCGGTTGTTTGTTGTTAACGTTCGCTTGAAAAGAAAAAAAGAGGGGGGGAACCCTCCCTCTTTTCCCCCCGGCGGCGACGACGCGGCCGTCGCCATAGAAACAAAACAGCTCCAGCCTTCCGTGAGCCTCACCGCTCCGAATTTGGTCAACGGAAGTGACGCGGCGCGGTGCGACGCGTCGCCGAGCTCGTTGTCAGCGAATCAAGCGCCCGCCCACTCGTTTCTTTGCTTCTCCAAATCGGATTTGCGGAGATTTCTCGTTCGGAATAGGAATCAAACGGCAAGTGTTTTATTTGGCACCTTTTTTGCTCCAATTCATTTTGTATTCCTGTCTCCCCGTAAACGTTAGTTAGTTGGGTTACGATCCATTTTACACTTTTAACTTAATGTTTAACCATGTTTTGTGTGTGTGTTAAATAGTTAGCCCAGAAATGTTTATTACCGTACATTAATTCGAAGTGATACAATAAAAAGTGAGAATTGGCAATTTTATTTTTTATTAAAATAAACTATTTGATAGAGTTAACATACATGTACACATTTGAACTGTTTTTTTTTTCAACCTCACCCGCAGCTGACCGATTGTACAATAAAATACACATTATAACTAGACAAGATATAAAATGCATATATGATTCTGTGACATGTATTATGTTGACATATAACCATTTTTTGTGATTTTTTTTTTTTTTGTCCGCGAATGACCCATTCCAATATAGTCTGTAAAAATGTTTTCTTAAATACCCCCCCACTCAAACAAAGTGAATAATGTATGATTTAAGATGACCAACACCTTCTTTGTTTGCCACATCTACAAATGGGTCTGAAATGTATTCCTTATGTGTTGTAAATACTAATCCCCATCGATCAATGCCACCGACATAGTGACAGGAAGAACAATTAAATGTTTCCATTTCACTTTTTATTTCTTGTCCCTTGCATCCGATTGTTTTTTGTACGTTCAAAAATAAAAACGGTGATCAAATAGAGATGGCGCCGCATTCCCAAAGGAACGGCAGACAACACGCTTGGATACGCACCTCTCCCATAAAATGCTGCACATCAGTCACCCTGCAATGTTTTCGTATTTGTTTTCCATCACAGGTTCGTCCACGGCAATTTTACACCTCGAGATGAGTACCGTTAAGAGAGACGGCGCACCTGTTAGAAGTCATTTGCATGCATGTTTTTTGTTCGTTTGGAAGCTTTCGTTTTGGAGAACCGCACGACCAGAATGGAAGAAAGAATTCAGCCCTGTCACATTGATTCACATTTTGGAAATGGACACAACAGCAAAACAGACGCTACAAAAGAAACGAAGGTGCGGTGAACCCCCCTCCGATGTCACACTTGAACTTTTTGAGTTTTTAAAAGAGAGATTTCAAATGTACTATAGATTGGAGAGTATATATCGGACATTTATTTTTTTCTTTCGTATTGTTCTGTCCCCACATCGTTTGCACACAAGTGACCGCTGGAGAGCAAATCTTTTGAACGCTCAAGTTTTCTGAGAAGTGTCGTAAAGCGGCACGATGTCGCCTCCAGATTGAAAGTCTGGATGTTTTTTCAGGCCGGAACAAGAGAAAGTCGTGCGGTTTAGCGACATTGGGCTCAGCCCGTTTGATTGCAACCGGCTCACCGATGCTCGGTGCGCGATGCGCGGACACACCGACCACGCTCTTTGTTTGTTTGTTTGTTTTGTTTGCTTCACAACGCCAGAAGGGTCGGCGAGTTGAGATTGTCTTCAAAGCCGCCCTCCGGCGCCAAGGCGTCCATTTCGGCCAAGTTGAAGGAGAAGACGCCGAGGCGGTGGTTGCCGCCGTACGAGGGAGCGGGAGACGCGCCGAGACATTCCAGGTCGTCTGCGACCGACTTGTACAAGGTTTCCCAGTCGGGCAGGCACAGAGACCCTCTCAGGTCGGCGATGTCGGGGACGAACGCCCCGGCCGCCGCCTGCCCCTCCTCGGACGTCACCCCCTCCATCTCCAGGCTGGGGACCAGATCGTCCAAGTCGTCCTTCAGCTCTTGCAGGCTCTCCTCTTGGTCGTCTTGCACGCTGGCGGACAGGAGGAGGTCGGAGTTGCCGAAGATGGCCGCGGCCGGGACGCCGGCGCCTTCGGGTGACGCCGCGGCGATGTCCTCCTCGTCCGCGTCCGCCTTCGACTTCAGCTTACAGGAGGAGCCGTGCGAGGACAACACCTGCTCCAGTCGCTCCTTCTCCTTCAGGAGCTCGTCTATCTCCGACTGGAGGATCGACTTCTCGTCTTCCAGTTGGTCAGTTTCCTAATGGAGAGAGACACCCCACACCCCCAAAAAAAAAAAACAAATAGGCATTGCTCATGTGCTCATCTCAACCGCACACTTTTCTTCCGGTTCTCACATACAGCTTGCAGGGTGTCGATCAGCTCCCTCCGCCTGTTGCGGCATTTTGCCGCAGCGATTTTGTTCCGCTCCCGGCGAATCCTCCTCCTCTCGTCCTCTTCTTTGGAAGGCTGCAGATGAAAAAAAAAGGCACAAAAAGTGAGACGCTTCAGCTGAAATGTCATGCGGGGGGGGGGGGGGGGTTCAAAAGTCAAAACTGCTCAGCAGGTGTGTCAGACTTTACAAAATAATCCTGATAGTGTTCCCCCGCTCTATGGGTGGGAACTTTGGTATTTGTGATTGTGATTATGGCGCTCCAAAAACCTAAGGGCGGGGGGGTGGGGGGCAGGATCAGGATAACACCCTTAATGAAAAGTGTTTTTCAAACAAATGTTTGAACTGTCTCCTGTTAAGCCGCAAATGCAAGCACAGAACGCGAGTGGACATCGCGTACTGGTGCTTGTCAAACCGACTTAATGGCGCACTAGCGCCACCGGCCGATCTCGTCGTCGCACTGCAACGAAATGAGCGTGACTCGGCGGCGGGGCAAATCGGCCTCGCGTCCAAAACCTAGTCGTCGGCCAAGGGAGAGCCCCCCCCCCCCGCGTGTTACCGTCAGGGGTCATTAGGTTGCCCATTTCCGTGATTCCCAGCGAAGGGGATGAGAACGACGGCTCCATTCAGGCCATGCAGTGAATGCCGATGTGGAGGTGCTGCAGACTCGGGACTGGAATGATGCATGCGTGCACCACGTCCATAAAGAAAAAAACAAAACATCCACGCACAAATTTGACATGCAGTATATATGGATGTACATCCCCCTTGCGTATCGTATTTGTGTTTCCTGCCTGGTCTCGACCTTGTCTTGGCGTGCTTTCCTGCAGCCGGGCGTCTTGGCCTTCTTGTTGGAAGGCGTCCGGCCCCCGCTGCCTCTGGGGGGCGAGACGAGGGCCATCGCGCTTCGTCTGCGGCGCGCGCCTCCGATCCGGCGAGACGAGGCGGTCGGACGCCCCGCCGTCCGCAACCTGAGCCCGAAGAAGCGAGGTCGCGGGAGGTGGGGTGCAGACAGACACATAGCGACATTTAACTGGCAGCATCACGAGAGCATGACAAATGTGTGCCTGTGTGCGTTTTTTATTCCTTGACCTGGTCGTCAGCTGCCGGCGAAGGAGGAGGCAGGCTGCAGCCAAGAGTGTCTCCGCCAGGCGATGCTGTGCCGCAGCTGGACGACGACGACGACTCCGAGGAATAATCCGGGTGCGTAATTGCTCGATTGATTGGAATTGTTTTTTTTTTTTCACCGTTCACTACAACTCTCTAAAAATACAAACGTAGCTGCGTCTAAACCAGACCGAGGACTCGGAATCCTGCATCAAAAAAGGCGCCCTTCCATTTGCCAGCTTTGATGAATGGTACGAAGTGCGGCGAGTGGCGAGGGGAAGCCGCCTTTTATAGTCAGCTGCAGTTTTTTATGAATGAAACGTACGGGAGCGAACCAATCGGTGGGGTGGGGAAAAACGCAATGGTGCCGCCGCTCTCCCCCCACAACACACACTTTTTTTTTCGGCGTATCACGTGAATGCACCAATTCAGAATAAATCCAAATGTGTTTTTAAAAAAATACACCCGATGGAACCAGAAGAAGCTTGTCTTTGAGCCCCCCCCCCCCCGTCCTTCGTCACCGCGTGAGAAGGGTGCCCCCTCTCGTCATGAATGAACTACGTCATTTAATGCATGCAGTTTCTGTCTCGCAACGTGAGCCGTGCACCATTTCCCTCCTAATCCGAGAGCAGACCATCACGAATCGGATGAATCCACAGCGGCCACGACAATTGGGTTTTTTGTTCTGTCCGCTTGTGCGATCGTCATTTTTGCACAGCTCGGTTATGCAACGACGCACAGCAAGGTCACGTGCTCATTTTTTTTTTTGATCAAACGTTTTATTTTACCTCGAGGTGCTAAATGAAATCCCTTTCGTGTTATGTTTACTTCTACACGTGTGGGGGGGGGGGGACAAAAGGGACACTTGGCGCCATATATTGAATCGATGAGCAGCAGGCTGCCATTTCGGCCACTACCGCCCTCCGCTGGCGACTCAAATTGATGCCAGACGGCCTTCGGGTTCGCATTGCGAGCCTCACGGCTCACCTGGTCCCACGTGACTCAGACAGTCCTTGGTTCCCTTCCGTCATCCGTCTATGCTTCCTTCTTTCCACCCACCCTTCCTTGTTTCCTTCCACCATTCCTACTTCCTTTCATCCATGTTTGTTTTCCTCTCTCCATCCCTCACGTTCCCTTCCTACCTTCTGAAACAATCCTTCCTCCGTTCCTTTTCCCATCCAATCCTCGTCATCCTTCCTCCCAGACTTCCTTCCCTCCTCCTTTTGCCTTCCTACGGAAAGCGAATGTGAAAAAAAAATGTCCCAGCCTGGACGTGAAAGTGTTCACTCATGTGATGCCGACGGGCTATTTTTAGGTCGCCGATGACATCACGGACCCATTGAAGTTAACTGAACGGGGGCATTAGGAAAAGAAAAGAATCGAAAAGGGGGGCCTCTCATGGGGGGGGGGGCGTGTTGTATTTACTGGCACGGGATTATGTAGTCCGTTTGGGGGAGGGAGGGGGGCAAAATTCACCCCCAGAGAGCAGTCCTTGCTCCAGGCGGCACCAGAGCGTTTGTTGCTTTCGAACTTGAAAATCAAGAGCAAAACCATGGCGCGTCCTCCCGTGACGTGTGCAATGGAAGATGCAATTATGCGAGATCTTGCCAACCAAACGTCCAAAAACAAATACGAGAGGAAGGCACGCTGGCATCGCTTGCCGAGGTGTCCCATTTCACCCTGCACGTTCACGGGCGACAATCCACGCGGAGCTCTCACTCCGCCGTCTTTCTCGAAGCTTCGCCCGTGACGTCACCAAAGGCGAAGCTCTACTCTGCTGTTTTTTTCCGCTCCGGTTGAGTGATGCCTCTTGGTACTACAAACAATCTCAACCGACGCACGAAGCCAACACGTCACTGCCGCGAAAGGGGTGGAGTGTTGCCATGGCGACCGGGAATATTCAACAACAACAAGCAGCGCGGGAAAGAAAACACAAAAAGCCTTCAAGTCAAGCATGTGTTTGCTTCTTTGTTGTAGCCCGGGGCAGACTCGACTTGTTACTGATTTTTTTTTTGGGGGGGGTGGGGGGGGGTTAATATGACAACACAAAATATTCACAATCGACAGACATTGTTCTAGTTGGATCCGTTCCTCTCCTTTTCTGTTTATTTAGTACTGAGGCTCCTCGTGACGCGTTTGAGTGTCTCGAAAAGCACTATGCAAAACAATCTTTTGAAACAAAAACTGGTTCGAATTACTATAAGAATTCTACCTCAAAAAAAAAAACAGGGAACATTTGCATTCTATCGTAGTAACATTCCTATGTTGATGTAATACTGTTATGATGACATTTATTACAATGCATAATCATTGTAATGTGATTATCTCCTTCACACACACACAGCCTACTACTAATAATGAGTAATCAAGAGATACAACGAGTTCAAATGTAACTTTTGTTTAAAAGTTTTAATCTGACGATTTGCATTTGTGATAGAAATATTTCGATCACGTAGCAATACTTTTAAATGAGAAAAAAAGAGATGTTTTTATTGTGCTCACCGGAGGGAAAATTCAAGAATATAAACGAAGCAAATCGAGAATCGAGACGTTCATCTTTTCATCGCCTCATTGTTTTCGTGCCATATCCATTTAGCTGTCTCTGCTCAGACACAACGTAAAGCACTAAGTCTGACCACCGTAAATAAACTCCATACTTGGATATACATCCGCATAGTTCCATCAAGTCCAGCCCAGCCCTTGAGCATAAAAAGTGAACAATCGCTGCACTCATCGAACCTCCACATTTGCGCTGGAAGTGTTGTATCACACTGTGATTGCGCAATTAACGAGGGAGTTCCTAGAACGAGTGGCGCAATGGCATCTCGTCAAACGATCGCGGTCGGTTGCCAAAGCACAATGTCCCGGCTTCGACCTGTCCTCCGCCCGCGCAGGTGAGAAGGGGAGAGGTCAGAGGATTCCCTCTCGCCCTTCTCGGGGAACACCTTTTGTCAAGTGGGGCAGGGCTGCAAAAGTGCACGCACACGCCCACGCCCGCACATGACCATCTTGTTCTGCAAGAAGTGCGACACGCCCGCTCAAGAGGAAGGGACGAGCACCGCCCCGGGGCTCTGGAGCGCGCAAGCCAGACGCATGCAAACGGATGGGCCTGTTTTGCATGTCGGCCTTGGTCGTTCAGTCCCGGCACGTAGAATTCCGTTTGACTCGCGAGACCAAACACCTTTGCCTCAGGTATGGTCCGCTCGCTTTATGCTAACATGTAAGCAAAAACGCCACGCGCAAGCTAAAGATGAGCACCAACGGTCACAATATTCCCAGACACATATTATTTATCCTCTGCGGAAAATCGCGGCTATCAGAGCATCATTCACTATTTTACCAAACATTTCTTCTACATTTGTCGTCGACCACTAATATTTCTTAATACCCTTGCTCCAACGAAATTTTCAAATCAACGAAATGGACTCTTTTGTTTCTTTGAGGTGGGTCCATAACATTAACAGGAAAAAACATCATTAGAAATTCCCGGCCTCGAAAGTATGGGAAACTGTTTTAGGCAAAAATTGACCAAAAGAGGACAAATGGAATGCAAATCAGCAATATCCACGTTTAAAGCTCTTATCTTCAAGCATTTTCCCGTAACCTGTAGCTAGTGGCTAACGTTTGTCTGACCATTGTACGACAATTGTCATGACTCGCTTCAACTAACTAGGTCACTCCGCAGTTGTGGTTCCAAAGGCAACAAAAGAGTGCGCCTTGTTGTCTTGAACGTACTTTTGGTCTTTTGTGCTGAGCATTTGCTTTGATACTTGTGGAGTTTCTTTCCCAACAACAAGCCGAGTGAGTGTTTGTTGTCTTACGTAACGTCACGCCGCCGAGCTCTCGGATTTACCAGCAGAGCCCGCCCCTTTTTACAGGATGCGCCATATTTGGAAAATGACGTCCTGGGGATCCCGGAGCGGAATCTTCCATTCCTTGGAAGCGGGAGGCACATTGGCGGTAAAATGTCGTTTTTCGGGCCCGATTGTCCTTGACATTTCATTTCATCGCGACTCTTTCCAATGTGAAACGTTTTTTTGAGGACGGCGTCGTGTGGTCTGATAACTGTGAACGTTTTCTTGCGGGTTTCTGTCATCCCCC